CGCACTGTCAGAGTGTCAGTGCTGAGGGAGTGCCGCACTGTCAGAGATGCTACTTCTTGAATTAGACTTTAAAACATGGCCCCTTCTCATAGACACTTTCTTGAGAATGATCTGGGACAGTCTCCCCAGTGTCCCAGCCGAACATCATGTGAATTAGGAGCTGAAGTGGGCCACTCGGCCCTTCAAGCCTGTTCTGCAATTCAATGTGATCATGCTCAGTTTGTTTGTGTTTCAAGTGTAGCCTCCTATCTGCCCCCTATTATCGATCAAAATCTATACAGGTATTGATTACATTTTATTCCCCTGTCTTCATTATCTCCTGATGATGGGAATTCCACAGATTCGTGAAGAGAAAAAAGTTCCTCATGTCTTCATGAGAAAGGGGAGACCTCTTATTCTTAAACTGTATCTATTGCTGTTGTCCCATCACAAGGAAAATCATCGCTCTGGCCTTGACCCTAACCCTATCAATGTCACTACTCACCCCTCAGCCAACATCACTGAGACCAAATGCTACTTGTGGGATCTTGCTGTGCATCTATTAGCTATTGTGTTTTCCTGCAGTGAAATGGCATTTTAACTTCAAAGAGGTTAAGAGATATGGGCCAAAGGCAGGTATATGGCATTAGATCACAGACAAACCATGATCTCATTGTACAGCAGGAGAGGTTTGAGGGGCTGAATGGCCTACTCCTGCTCCTGTGTTCTCATGGAGTACTTCCTGGCTGTGAAAATCTTTTTCTGGAATGTGGTACGTAAATTCCTGCTCCTCTCTCTCGCTGTCATTAATGTTGTGAATATCGTCCATGTTATAACATAACGTGGGGCTGGAGGAACACAGCGGGCCAGGCAGCATCAGAGGAGCAGAAAAGTTGACGTTTCAGATCGGGAACCTTGTTCAGAAATGGGACCCGAAACGTCAGCTTCCCTGCTCCCCTGATGCTGCCTGGCCTGCTGTGTTCCTCCAGCTCCACACTGTGTTATCTCTGACTCCAGCATCGGCAGTTCTTACTATCTCTGAATTTAGTCTGTGTTATGTTTCTCTCTCCTCCATTCAGGGAAATCCAGGTGAACCCGGAGAGCAAGGGCCTAAAGGAGAGAAAGGAAAGGAGGTACAACACACAGACAAAGTTAATGACTTCTGCAAGTATATTGTTGACCAAGTGCTCAGCTCATGTCCAGTGTTAGCTGTGGTTAATGGGTAAATCTCCTGCCATTCAGTCAGGAGGAAGAGTACACAATACATGTTGCAGGTATTACTTGGGATTCCTCAGGTATAACGAGACTCGCAATGAGAATGTGGAGCAGTTCAGTGAGGAGTTCTATTCCTGTGATATATGTTGCAAACTACTTCTGTGCCAATAACTTTTTTTTGAAAAAAAGACATTTAAACTTGCAACAACAGTCATCCCCACTCCAACAGTTACGTGGTTTGGCCAGCAGCTGCAGAAACCTTGACATGCATCAGCCTGCATTTATATAGCACCTTTATTGCCATGCAAACAGCCAAGGCGCTTCACAGGCATGTTATCGAAGATCAGGGATTAATGAGAATGTGGAACTCAATGCTACAATAGATGATT